TAGTATGTAACCAGCTGGGTACATTTGTGAAAAAAACTGTGCGGGTGTGTGTGTGTGAGAGAGGAAAAGAGTAGAACGAGACAGACAGTAGATAGAAAAGAGTGATGGGGGATTGCTTTAATGTATCATGTGAGGTGATGTTATTTAATATAACGTTCTTTCCCTTCTGAAATCACCATATCACTAAATGCCTTTAGAGATTGTTTGAATTTCATATCACACTATACATCAGGGGGAAAAGTACACAAAAACAATAGTAACAAGTCAACATGTTTCTCAGGAAAACCTTTTTTAAAGGCATTTCCTGTTGAAGGAAGGAGATAGAAGATGTGTTCAGAGATCTGATGCTAGGAGCTGCTTTACTGGAAGATGGAGGTTTACAGTTTCTCTAAAACAAAAGGTTTAAAAGTAGCGATTCAGAACAACAAGATTCGGTTCAAACAGCTTCTCCGAATGGAAAATCAGCTTTTAAAGCTGAAAAAAATCCAGTTTTTAGATCGATATTCGAAATGCGTTATGTTAAGAGATGAACTAATAAGTTTTGTTTTACATCAGTTTAAACAATCCCTGATATGTGCTGCCAGTTTTTGGTTTCTGAAGCTGATATTGTTTTTTTCTCCCTACATTTACATAAGTATGACACAATAAAAACAATTTTTATTAAGTCTTAATCTTAAATAAAAAAAATCCACTAAGAATTAAAACATTAACGATGGATAACAAATTGAGGGAGTCACAATGCTCCTCACATGATCTCAAAGTACGGCTGCTGAATCCATTAATAAATCGAAGAACACCCACACATATTAGCTGATGTCAATGCAATAAAAAGCACTACTACCCAAATTCATGCCATAGGTCCGTAACAACCAAAGTTATTTGAATATGCATTGTACTAGTTGAATGCATGATAAAAAGCTCCCAAAAAAGACAGTTCAGGTTTAGGAGTATTTGGAGAACAGTCTCCTCCCTGTTGGGGCAAATTAATATGAACTGCTTTTACCCTACCTGTTTGTCTTTAGAAAGGCTCATTATTATTATTATTATCATTCAAAACAAAACAAAATGATATTATGATAGGTAGTTGGAAAAAATTGCCCTATAACACAGAACATGCATGGACGGGAGGCCATCCCTGATCCTCTATGCTGACTTAATTGTCCGTTGTGATTTTGACCTATCCTGTTTTGTAGATCAGCCAAATAATAACAATAATAATAATTGAACTCTATTGATCTCACACTGGAGAAATTCACTCTGCATTTAACCCACCCCTTGGGAAGCAGTGGGCTGCCATTGTATGGCGCCCGGGGAGCAATCGGCGGTTAAGGGTCTTGCTCAGAGACCCAGAATGGAGGCTGTGGGGATCGAACCAGGTACTCCCAACCCTAGTTGTGTTTTCTGATTGTATTCTATGATCGTTCTTCTCACAAGAGTCTATAGCTTGATCCAAATACCTCAAATTATAGCTCATACTCCCTGTTCAAAGCCTCTATCCCTTCACCTTTCCAGGGGTCAACAATAAAAACACTTTCCAGAGTAGGAAAGGAGCTCCAGACTGATGTCTTGAATCCAGAAAGTCTTCCGCCTTACTGACGTCAGATGAATAATGCTAGGGAATCTGGCACTACAGCCTTTAAGCAAAGAAGTACAAAAAAAATGTTACTCAAATGGATCGAGATGACAAAGCATTTCATTACAGTATAAAATCCAGGACATGTGAAGGTGATAACATTTCCATTTGCCATACACAGTACATTTCATGAAATAATGTATTTTGTTAAACTCTTTGAGACACACTGTGCGTATACATTCTGTTATGCAGAGGATTGTGGGCAACCTTATAGCTCTTAGTGTCGGCTAGGGGCCTCATGAGGTCGTCATCTTGAATTTAAAAGCAACGTTTTAGTTTTAAATCAAGATCAATTCAGCTTGTTGTTGTTAAATGTTAATATCTTCATATATTAAAATACATGCTCGGTCTTGTAGAGCCACCCACCAAATGAAGGGTCATCTAACCATTATTGACAGTGTGCTAGTAATGCTAGTAAAAGTTCCAGGTGATGCTGCCTCACCTAGCCACTGTTTGGCTATGGTTATTAGCTCCTCTCTGTGGTGGTGCACTACATTTGGTCACTAAGTAAACAAGTTAAATCCATGCCTCCTATACTGCTCCACCAGGAGCACATGTATAGGACATGTTTTGTTATTTGAAGAAGTTAGTTTCAACAAGTAGAGAACAACACAAAACAAATCACCTGGCCTATCACTCCCAATGTGTTACATATTTGCAAGGATATCGCCATTGGGCTATTTACCATGTTACCTTTTGTATTACTGGTGCTACTGTAATAAAATATATCTAAACATTCAACACTGAGAATTTTATGGTATGTGACTTTTTCTAAGCACATGGAATTGCCTTATTTAAAGCATGACAAGGAAAATATACGGATGTGCTTTTGAGAAGAAGTTAAAGACAAAGACCAGATTCTTCTAATTACGCAGGCAATGAAATTGTAGAGGAAGAAAATTAAGCTGCAAGAATGGCCAAGTCAATGGTACATTTAAAAATCTAAAAAGAAAGAAGTGGTGATCCAAGTTGTAGTTTCTTAATAAACTTGATACTCTTTAGACGGTTTGTGTGGAACAATTGGCTAAGATAAGACATAAACAATACATGCTGTATACTTGACTTTGTTTGGTAACTGGCAATAAGGAGAAATGTATGTCGGTGGATTTCTTAAAGAAATATTTAAATATTTAAGTTCCCGTGGAGTGTGGATAGCATTTAGCAAAACTGTAATATTATTATTACAGTATTAGAGTTATTATTATACTAACTACATAAAAAAAAGTAGCTAATCTTCAGTAGCTTCATTGTCGCTTGCTTTTGGCTGTAGAGGCTAGAGCTCATGGAGGATAAAGTTCTCTGATCTAATTTATTATAGAATGCATAAATATTGTATGTCTCTGTAACTATACTTAGATAGGAATAATGAATAGCTTCTACTTTAAGCCTTTGGTGAATAAAAAGAAGGGACTCAGTATAATTCTGTGCTAATTCCATATTTATCTTAAAAACAATCCAAACTTTTTAAATATTTGCCCGCTGTGATAATTCATAGAAAATGTCTAAATATAATTTTTTTTTTAAAAAACTAAAGTTGTATTTCAGCAGAAACTTTACCAAGTACTGACACATACAGTAATACATACAGTAATATGTATGTATTACTGTATGTGTCAGTACTTTTGGGGTCTTGACATTAACAAATGTTTTTATTCATCAGTGTTATTAGTTATTTGTTATTTATTCATTTAGTTATTTACAAATGCCAGTATCATGCCTGCTGTATCAGAATGCATTTTATTTTAGCATTGTGCCTTTCACCATCAAAGTAAAATAAACATTTTTTAACAGTTTGCATGTTCTTGTACTATTTGACAGTAGTATCTCATTTTTTTAAGTGTTCTGTTTTTGCTGGAAGAAAAAAAAAGACCACATTCATATTAATTAACATTTTCACATGCAATGTTCATTCTACTTGATATTTTTTACATAGGCATTTCTTTTTATTAGAACTTAGGTAAATGAGAAACTGCATTGTGTTTCCAAATGACAACATTAGAAAGAATATGAACAGAAATGGATTTAACTATACTGTAAAGAACTAATATTGGTATGTCTCTCAAACCAGAGAATAGCAGTCTAAGCTTTTTAATGACTTTAATTGATGGTATGGTGTCTGACTTGAAAAAGGAACCAAAGGTTATGGTAAGTCTTTGGTGAAAATTAAAATTGCTTAACTTGGGGCACAAAACCATTTTGGAGAGGTAGGAGTCTATTGTTGAAATTTGACTATTTACATATTGCGTCATTGTAAATTGATGTTGCATGTTTATTGCCCAGTCATTGCATTTTTTAATTTTATCAAGTTTTCTATGTTTTCTGTTTTATCATGATTCTCATAACCAGACCAAAAAAATACTGTTGCATGAATACATTTTTAAGAGGCAATATGCACACATTCTGTTTTCTGTATTTTACATTATAAAATTGCATCATTTTGTCCGATAAGTATATATATATAAATGTAGGCAGCATGATGTTTACCTCTCCTATTTATCATTGTTTGTTTTTGGATCTGCCTCCTTTATTTAAATAACATATTTCACAGGGTAACTTTCTCACACAAAACAGACCATTAGCTCTGAAACAATATAAATTAAGAGTAAATCTGGCTTTATAATACTGTTAAGGGATGATCTAACTGCTCTTTAGTGCTATGACCAAATCACCTACAAAATCTCTAAAAGATTTTACTTGAGCCTGTGAAACACTAAAGATTTTATAAATACAGATTCCATTATTTTATCTCGCAGTGTATTACATCAGCTTTTCTATATAAAGAAAAATGTATTATTAATATTTTGAGGCAACAGATGATAAATTATGTTTAAAAAAAGTTCAATGAATAAAATATTTAATGAGTAGGATGAAGACAGCAGGATAAACATGCCTCAAGTTGTTTATTTCTCTCCCTCTCACCTTTTCATGTTTTGTGATCAATACTGCTTCTTGAATCATTTAAACTTGAAGCCAGTTATAAGTGCTTTTTGTGTTATAATGTAAATCCCATATATTCTGAGCTTAATTGAAGTTAGTTTGACACTGCACTCTAAAGTGTAATATAATTTATTTATATATAATTTATTCATATATATTTATATATCGTTTCTTTTTTATGCCAATGTTGACCCTCAAATTTGTTGACCCTTTCATGGCTCAACCTTGTTCTAAGTTAAGAAACAGATTGTTACCACAAAGGGTAGATGTACATAGATGCAGTATGTATTTCCTGATCAGATGTTACAATAGTTTGCTTGCATGTGATATTTATGCCTTGCATGTTGTAAACATGCAATGGCCAGTACTTGCCTGCATGCTGCTTAATGAATGTCTTCCTCTCTCTCTCTTTGCCTACCTTTCCCTCCAGAAGACAACAATACCGAAGGTGGGTATTTTCATCATGAGTACTAATTGTCTTTAAGTTTTATTGTCAAAATGTTAGAAAATGATTGATGAAAGTGATGGTATCAATTTAACATGAGTGGTTATTGCATTAAGTCATTGTTTATTCTTTTTTTTCATTTCCTTTCTGTAATACATACAAATCTGAAACTACTACTACTACCAATAAGAGTAATATTAATAATTAGAAGAAGTTGAATGAAATCCACCAATAAACAAATGTATAAATAAATAAGTTGACATAGAAATAGTCAATCCTATAAACAAGTTTAAAGTTATTTGTTAAGAACTCTTTCTCTTGATTATATTTGCATAAAAACTAGGGCTGCAACTAATGATGTATTTTGCTAATCAATTAATCTGTTGATTATTTTTTTCGATAATTAATTGGATAGCCAAAGATTCTTTAAAGATTTTCTTTACAAAATTAAACCAGGTTAAACTAAAACTTTTCCATTTAAAGAGTTCTGGATACAGCATAATGACAGATACATTTTTTTTTATCTTAAATGCAAAATATTTATATATATAAATATATATATATATATATATATATATATATATATATATATTTTTTTTTTTTTTTTTTTTGGTATAATTACTGCTCTAAGCAGGTTGCTCTGTCTGATAAAGGGATTGTTTTACAGTTTCTATACTCCTTTTAATAATTAATCGATCACTAAATTAGTTAACAATTATTTCAAGAATCAAATAGTCGTGATTAATTGTATTGATTATTTCAGCCTTAATAAAAACAATATTTCTATAAAACTATCAATGCTTAAATAAGTCAATATATAACAATTAAAAAATACTATGCCAAAATCCTAAATAATTTGATATATATCATTACACTTTTGTTTTGAAGACTATATTAACTAATCTCTCGACGGTAGCACAGCTTCAGTAGAATAATTGACGGCAAAATGGGCTACTTATATTAGTTTATCATTATTGTATATGATATGTTAAAACAGCAACAGCTCTGAAAACTCAAACATTGAAAAAGACATGAACATAAGTTATTTTTAAAGATTCAAAGAATTGGACATTTGACTAAGGTATTGCATAATATGATCCCTTTGTAAGTGTATCATGTAGGCGACTGGTCATTTCTTAATTTAAGCCACACTTTGGAATGCCACAGCCCAAATAGGTCATTGGGCACATACTACTGCAGATTCTTTCTCACCGATACCAGGCAGCATTTATATCTGGTCGGCAGAGAGGGCATTGAATTTCAGCAATTCCTGGAGAATTGAAAGGTTAAAACCACTGTAAAAACTGCAGTTAAAAAAAGGAAAATGATCACAACACATTTCACTTTATTGATACCTTTTAGACTCATGTCAATGTTCCTGATGCTCACATGCAAATCTACACAAATGTCAATCTATTTTAGTGTTGAGATGCATTTTTGGCATCCTTTAGATGTCATGATTTTCTTAAGAGATCTGACCCACATGCAGTAAACTACTCAGAGAACCAGGATAAAAGTTTTAACAGGTTTATTGATAAGGACAACAGGGGTTGGATTCAGGAAACTCGGTGTGTTGGTGACCCGGAACTGGAAGAGGGAAGGGAAGTATCAACGGTTAGTTCACGATCTGTGGGAACTTTGAGCGATGGCTGGAGAGACGTAGAAAACGGGACTCAAGTTGATTGAGAACACCTCTTCTCCCAGAATCCAGTTTATGTGGGTTTATCCAGAGGTAGAGACTCGTTGGTGGGTGGACAGGTTAAGACTTGGTTGGATCCTGATGAGCTATTGAGCAGACTGTCACTTGGGAATCCAGGAGGACTTGAACAGAACTTGTGGAGGTTAATCCCCTGCTCAGTGTTGGACTCAAACAATCCTTCCAGGGGAAGAAGGCCAAACATCCAGCTTGCAGGAAGGCTTCCTGCCGAAAAGGCAAAGACATAAACAAGGTTAGGCTCAGCGAAACAAAGACTCAAACTCAGCCAAACTCAACTTGGCTAGAGTACCCAAAACTGGCAAACACACTGGCGTCGAGGTAGTGACAGTCCACCGCTCAAAAAGGCCCCAGTAATGAGCCAACCAGCCGCAGGTGTGTGGGAGGACCAATGAGAACAGGGCGCCGCCTGGTGGTGGAAGGAGAGAACAACACAAAAACACAACCCACACAAACTGGATTCCTAACATTAGATCTCCATATGCAGTAGGGTGACTAGATCCCAGTGTCTGAGGGACAGTCCAGGTCACTGATTCTAAACCTCCAACATGCGCCCTTCATACATTGACAAACATTCTTGTCTTAAAGAGTTGTTAATTTCACAATAAAAGCTACATCTTCACTCTTAATCAGCTGTTGGATTTTACATGTTGTGCGACTGATAAATTATGTGAATATCTGTTTTGACTTGTAGCACGTGTGTGACACTTCTTCTCCACCAATAAATAAAACCGATGTGTCGATGTTGGGGTTAAGCCGATAAAGGGAAAAAAATAAAATTGGCCAAATGGCCATAGAGTTATTTCCATAGCCAGCAAATACGGCTTCACTGCAAGTCAGAAACTTTTTTTTTTTTTTTTCGCGGGACACGGCCTCAATTTGCGTGATGCTCCAATTAGACAGAAATACATGAAATTACGTACAATGTGGGAAATATAGTCACCCTTATATGCGAAATCATAATAACTTAGAATAGTATGAAAATGTCAACACAGTCGTGTAATGTAATAAAAAAAAAAAAATTATCCACAAGAATATTTATTTTACTCTTTAGGGATACATCTCAAGAGTTCAATTCTTGTGTTTTAACTGATTTTATATCACAGCTTGAAAAACCTAGTGTTTCAATGTTATAAAAACTCTGACCCCCCCCCAAAAAAAAAAAAAAAAAACATATGTTTAGTAACTGCCACAGTAATGGTCTTAAAATAATTGTCATGCAAAGCCAAGAAACTCTCTGGGAGACCTTCTAGGAATGTTGAATGTGGCTGGGGTCAGTGTTTTTTTTTAAGAGGCACCACACACAGGTGTTTTTAGGGGCTGGGCTGCAGCTGATCTATTCCAAAACTAAACCATAGAAAGCACCAGTTATTTTGCCCACTCGCCACCTTAAAAATGCACATGTACAAACCTGTATCCGCTCCCAAAAGGGACTCCTTTTAAGAGAGAGCATGCATGCTCGAGCCCATTTCTCCTCGTGCAAACTCTATTTAAAAATTGCTGTTTGCATCGCTAATACAAGCTTATTTTTCAAAAGAAGATTTCCAATTTGTCCACTGTCAGACTCACCAGGGGAAAGTGAAAATGGGGATGAGCAAATAGGACGGCCTTACATAAACATATCATCAGAATGATTGACAATTAGGAGGACCACTTATTTTGATGATCGACCCAGAAAAAGGACATTCTGAACAATACCTTTAAAAAAAAATTTTTTTAATTTTTTGTCCTTCATACTCTGAAATAAAAGTGGAGAGCTAGAGAATTCAAGTGACTTGAAGCCAGTGGAATTTTACAGTCAGTTATGATTTAAAGAGCAAAATTACCCAGATGGTTTTTGCTGCAGGTCCAGTTGAAGTTGGGGTTGGTGGGAACTGAATCAGCTTTAATGGCTAAACCTTCATTGAGCCATCCCATTGATCAACTTTCCCAGCCGCTAACCTGAATGAGTTAAAAACATAACTGTGGGCAGGTTGAGATTTTTAAAAAATACCAATAGGAGAATCCTATAAAAATAGTAGCTAAAACAAATGGTGCCCTGGAACTGATATTATTAAAAAAAAAAACGCATACAATTTTTTCAATACACATATTTTTGTTCCTAATGCAGCTATGTGCACAAATTCAAATCCAGATTGTAGCTTATAGTTTTCTCATTACTTAGAGTCTATAACCTGTGCCTATATTTTATTCTGCTGTCAAACTACAACTAGCCCTTTTAAAAGGCTACACTAATAGCAGATTCTTTCTAACCAATTTTGAGTATATGTGAAACCTTTATCTAATTTGTTAAATGTTTTTTTTTTTTTTTGCATCTGGGCCAGATTAATATATTGCCCCACGTCAAAAACTACAATACTGTCATTATACTGTAGATATATTAGTTCAGACCATAAATATTGTGTATATATATAGTCTACAATATTTATACCTGATTGAAGTATAACTCAAATATTATAACAGGCTTTCTTCTCAGTTGGTTTGGGTTCTCTACAACAAAAATGAACCTAATAACATGCAATAAAAAGTGCACAGATTCAAATTAATGAAAGAAAATAATACAGTTCTTTATAACATGTTACAAAAGCTATCGTGTTCAACATAACACAACAAAAAAGTTACAATTTGGGTATGCATTATTTAAATTTTTTTTTTATGCGTCTTATTCCTGAATCTTGTTATCTTTCCTCTAACTGGGCACATTCCATATGTGCCACTGCTTCAGTCCTGGCTAGAATTTTGACCTTTCCAATGAACCCATGGACACCTGAAATACATGAGAAATGAAATGTTAAATGTTATAAAGCTTCTTCCAAATTTTTTATCTAAGATTGATCAGTTCCGCCCATCTCTGACCAACAAGCAAGCATTTTCTTACCTGCTTTGGGTCATGCTCTGTGATTATAAAATGCAAGGTCAGCTCCCTCTGCTGATAAGCTGAAGCTGAATTAATAATAATTAATTAATAGTGACTAGCAAACTGATTTTGCCTAAATTCCACAGAGAATAAGGGAGCCAGTATTGAGAGGAAGGTTAAAAACCATATACCTCAAAATGTAGTCAAGATGAGCACAGCTATTGAAACAGCTTGGGTGTCTTTTGTATGTCAGCAGAGCCACAGGCCCATTGCAAGTGTCCTGCAAAAACCTAATGGCTTTGATACAGTTAATTATGCAAACAATCCAAGTATTATGCTTAAAGTACATTGTATTGACATTATCTTAATTGGATGGCATGTCTGTATTAAAGATGCAATTTAATGGGTTTATTTTTAGAAAATTATTATTCTTATTTTTCTTATTAGTTAAGCCATAAATATCAAATAAACAAGGATAAAACTAAAACTCTATCTCACCTTGTGTAATGAATCCATATAATATATCTTTCAATTTTTGAGTTAAATGTCTGTATTATATTGACCCTAATGATGCTATTGATTTTTTTAAATGTATCTGCATAACTGTAAACATGGCTATCGCTTTCTGAATGTTGCATCGTAAGTTGCTGATGATGCATTGCGACCTTTCTTGGTTGCCCTAGTGCTCATCAGAGTTACCCTGTTTGTATTGTATGCCCTCAAATTGATGTCTTTCCCACTTTTTCCCTATCCCAACCGTCCTCTTGTAACTCAGACATCAACTTTTAAGGGGATGCCTGCTTGTCTGTGTCACACAGTTTCCCATGATCCCTTGTTCTCTGCTGACTATACTGTTGTTTTCCTTTAAGGTCTGGCACACCTGATGATGGGCGACCAAGGTATGGGCTATGCTCCTTTTTTTCCCATCATTCCTCCATTCTTCCTCCTGTTCCTCTGTGCTTAGAAATTTGTGAGCCACTAACTCCTGCGAAGGCTTGAAGCTTAAGATTTGTCTGTCCGTTCATATCAGTGGCATTTTCTTTCCTTTTTGCGACATTTCATTCTGACATTTTTTATGGGTGAATTTGCTTCAGTTTTTGCTTTAGTTTTTGTTTTGCTTAAGAGGCCTGACATTTCTCTACAGATTCTGTTTTTTAATTACTAACATTATATATTTTTATTGAATTAGGGTTGGTTTTAGGAGAGGAAAACTTGCATTAACCTTGTTTTAAAGCTAATCCTCATCTGTCCTCGCTTTACTAATGCATGTGGAGAGCATCTACAGAGGCAGCTGTACATTCTGTCTTCCTGTTTTCATTTGTGTGGTGCCGCATAATGTCATGGTGTAGCAGAGCAGCAATGTAGCTTCCTGTTTTTATTTTTTATGGCAGCTTCCTATTTCCCTCCTGTGCTTGCAGCCATCAAGCCTCTATCCTTTCCACCACTATCCTCCTATTTAGCTAAGACACTTACTGGTGTCTCCTCTCCCTTTGTTTTTCCTCTTTGTCTGGAATCTGCTTTCTTCCGGAACATTTCATCAAATCTTATAGGTAAAAGTAAAGGTACTGCCCTCTTTAATTTTCTAAATTCACTAAGCTAATAGTTTCTCTGGCATTGTATACTTAAGCTGAATTATATATAGTCACTTGCACTTTTAAAAACTAATTTTCAACTAATTATTTAGAGGGTTTCAAGGTAGGTGCTGCTCTTGCTCTGAATTCACATGCTCCAGCTTTGTTGCTCTGTTTTCCTTTTGTTCATTTATTGCATGGAAGCTATATAGACTCATATGGATATATGAACCACACAGTTGCTGTCCTAGTTTTTTGTGCAAAACCTGCATCTGGGGAGAACTACATTCCTTTTGTTTGAATTATGGTTTATGAGGTTGATCGTAATGTTGTGGGCCTCCCATCCTGGCTGTGATCCTCACCTCTTCTCTCTGTGGGGTAAGTGGACTTCTGATTTTTCCCATTTGACTCTCCTCAGGGCAGAGAGGGGAGACTTGGCTTGTAAGGTCCCTACTGAGCATTCAAGGTAACATTTAAATTATTTTGTTATAATTTTCCTGTTAAACTGTGATTTAGCAAGTTGCCATAAGTTTGGTAAATGTAATCGTTGCTTGTTTAGGGTTAATGTATAAAATCTAGAATTAATCTAAAATTTGCACATAGCTGTTTAATATTTTACACTGTGACATTTAACAGTGTTGATTTAACAATTAAATTTCACACCTTTGACCCGATTGGTTATGTGTATTTTAGTTCTCATGCTTTAGTATGGAATCCTATCTTCTTTTTGGGTTGTTATCTGACATAGATGTGAAGCTTCATTTAAACAGGTAAGTTTTCAAAGTGACTGGTCCACAGAATACTTAGTTATTTAATGAGCAGCACTGCATCTGTTGCTTTGATCACAGTTTATAGTTTTTGGAATTTTGTTTGTGGATTGTGAGCTTTTTAATACAGCGTTTTTTCCACAGTGTAATGTAATAGGTGGTCACAGACTGTATGTGAGTAAAGGTAAAACTAAAAATATATTTTTAAACAGAGATTTACCTATATGTAAAATGACACATGTTTTTTCTCCCTATCCAACAAAATAAATTTAAATCTACAATTTTATGTTTAAGGACAGTTGGAATTAATCAGTTAAAATAGTTTCTGTCACAATAACAGGCAAATTTTCTATCACCTTTATTAAAATTCAGAAGTTTTCTTGAAGTTCCTTTGATAAATCTATTAGAGTTGGCTTTTAAAATGGGTCTAATGTTTTTGTTGTGTCCTACATAACCTTCCTACAACAGTTTGGTGGTACTTCTAACTGGTGGTAACTCATTATCAGTCATTCCTCCTGAGTACTGTAACTGAGTCAGGTCTGTAAAGCAGACTTTTGTACTCATCCTTTCTGATTTGCCCACATTTTTGTGACTAAGATCAATGCTTTGTAAAAGCCACTCTTAAGCATTGACTTTTTTGTCATTTTGCTGCTTTGTACTTAATGTGGCATCTGTCAGCCAGTGTCAGTACAGGACTCTTTTAACTGTGGATAATGACGCTCTTACCAGTTTCACCAACAACCTAAGAGGCTTTTGCATTAGTTCTGGGATTGATGCATATATATTTTGCACCAAAACACATTTATAACTGGGACATAGAGCTTGTCACTCTCCTACAGGTGCTGGTCATAAAATTAGAATATCATGAAAAAGTAGATTGATTTCAGTAATTCCATTTAAAAAGTGAAACTTGTATATTATATTCATACATTACATACAAACTCATATATTTCAGATGTTTATTTTGTTTAATTTTGATGATTACAAATGACAACAAATGAAAATCTCAAATTCATCATATCAGAAAATTAGAATATTACTGAAGACCAATAAAAACAAAGGATTTATAGAAATGTTGGCCAACTGAAAAGTATGAACATGAAAAGTATGAGCATGTACAGCACTCAGTATTTAGTTGGGCCTCCTTTGGCCTGTATTACTGCAGCAATGCGGCGTGGCATGGAGTCGATCAGTCTGTGGCACTGCTCAGGTGTTATGATAGCCCAGGTTGCTCTAATAGTGGCTTTTAGCTCTTCTGAATTGTTGGGTCTGGTGTATTGCATCTTCTTCTTCACAATACCCCATAGATTTTCTATGGGGTTAAGGTCAGGAGAGTTTGCTGGCCAATTAAGAACAGGGATACCATGGTCCTTCAACCAGGTACTGGTAGCTTTGGCACTGTGTGCAGGTGCCAAGTCCTGTTGGAAAATGAAATCTGCATCTCCAAAAAGTTGGTCAGCTGCAGGAAGCATGAAGTGCTCTAAAACTTCCTGGTATGTGGCTGCGTTGACCCTGGACCTCAGAAAACACAATGGACCAACACCAGCAGATGACATGGCACCCCAAACCATCACTGACTGTGGAAACTTTACACTGGACTTCAAGCAACGTGGATGAAGTGCCTCTCTTCTTTTCCTCCAGACTCTGGGACCTTGATTTCCAAAGGAAATGCAAAATTTACTTTCATCAGAGAACATGACTTTGGACCACTCACCAGCAGTCCAGTCCTGTTTCTCTTTAGCCCAGGCAAGACGCTTCTGACGCTGTCTGTGGTTCAAGAGTGGCTTGACACAAGGAATGCGACAGCAGAAACCCATGTCTTTCATACGTCTGTGTGTGGTGGTTCTTGAAGCACTCACTCCAGCTGCAGTCCACTCTTTGTGAATCTCCCCCACATTTTTGAATGGGTTTTGTTTCACAATCCTCTCCAGGGTGCGGTTATCTCTCTTGCTTGTACACTTTTTTCGACCACATCTTTTCCTTCCCTTCGCCTCTCTATTAATGTGCTTGGACACTGAGCTCTGTGAACAGCCAGCCTCTTTAGCGATGACCTTTTGTGTCTTGCCCTCCTTGTGCAAGGTGTCGATGGTCGTCTTTTGGACAACTGTCAAGTCAGCAGTCTTCCCCATGATTGTGTAGCCTATAGAACTAGACTGAAAGACCATTTAAAGGCTTTTGCAGGTGGTTTGAGTTAATTAGCTGATTAGAGTGTGGCACCAGGGGCCATCAATTTTGAACCTTTTCACAATATTCTAATTTTCTGATATGATAAATTTGAGATTTTCATTTGTTGTCATTTGTAATCATCAAAATTAAACAAAATAAACATCTGAAATATATGAGTTTGTATGTAATGTATGAATATAATATACAAGTTTCACTTTTTAAATGGAATTACTGAAATCAATCTACTTTTTCATGATATTCTAATTTTATGACCAGCACCTGTAGAAGGCATGATGAGATAAACTTATCATGCTTGTCATACTTGCATATAACTGAAAAGAGTAAAGTGGCACCATCAGGTATCTTGAAATTCTATCCACTGATGAAACAAACTCGATGAGGTCTCTAATAAGTCCTTTCTGTAGATTATTCAATGGTGTCATACAATGTTGTGGTGTGTAATAATTATGCATAATATTCACCCACAAAGGTGCCCCCGATTGCCTTTAAGCATCTGAATGAATTAATCAATAGCTTACAATTCATGGCATTCTAAATTTGCGAATTGTATACAGCGTATAGTGATCAGTGTATGTAAACTTCTGAATTTGAGGAACTTTATTAGGATTAACAAAATAATATTCTATAATTGCTTCAGACTTTGTGAAAATAAAACTACTATACCTAAAGCACAAAAACTTTTAAATGTTTAAAAAATAGATAATGTTTCTAATTGCTTTTCTGAAAAAGTTATTCTTTTTGCTTTGTTTAAAATACAATTTTCTTCCCATATGTTCTCGATATGTATATAACCAAACCTTATTTAGTGAAAATTTAGACCAATACATTCAAAACCCATGTACTACTATGGGAGTTTGCAGAATCATAAAATATTAAATCAGTTTGTAAACTATGTAATAATTGCAGAAATCTCAAATTATCTAGATATGTAAAGAGATGCACATCTATAAATGTCTTCAACGGACTGATATATATTAAGCTCCTTTCCTTATACAACTCATTGGCAGTTTCTTTTACTAAAATGTGATTATTATGGTATGGGGAATGTATGCAAATGTGAAAACTGGAAGGAAATTCATTTGCCACATCTTCCAAGGTAAGTGTCACTCTCAGTGTTATAGTGTTCATTGTTATTTGTTTTGAAAAATGATGCAGACAGTAGGGCTTCTGCTGAATTGCATGAGAGTAGAAATGGTTTGATTTGTCTTTTTGTGTTGAAAAAAAAATTTGTCTTTTGATGGCTTCAAAAATATTACTTTAAGCTTTGATACATCCTATAGACTATATTTTATGATTTTCAGGGTCAAATGTTCTTCTTTGAATGCAGCAGTAAATTACATTCCGGTAATGCTGACTCAGATTATCTAACCCACCCTTTAATACAGCCTCTCTGTCATTTATTATAATTATCTACATTACTTAAGGTGTCCATTAGTTAATTTAAAATCATCTCCAAGTAATGTGTTTTAAAGCTTAGGATTGTACAAGTCTGGATAAATACATACCAAGTTTGGATGTAGCAGAAGGGAAGCTGCAGGGAAGGAGTCAAATAGTGCTGATGAGGCACAACTCTGCCATACTCGGCCCACTGATTCTAATTTGGGGCTTGGTAAGATTCCCCCTGTGTTTTAAAGTGTAAAAACCCTGCTCAGTCTTTGTAAATGTACTGTTTGGTCATAAACACAAATCCCCTCGGGTACTAAAACTTGGACAGAGCCTCTATTCATCGTCTACTTAAGCTTGTGAGAATACTGTGTTTTTTTATGTTGGCCCTCACTGAGGTTCTCCTGTGTCATGTTAACCACTTGGTAAGGTTTATCCTCTGTTTGATGGCTAGCCCTTTGAGGATAGGCTTTTGTTTGTGTGTCAGGTGCTTTCAGCTGGTTTACCAACATTGTTTACCTAAAAACCTTGTTCCCATTCAGCTTCAGAGTGCAGGGCGTACAGAGGGATAAGTTGTAATACCGCTGGCACACAAATCACTTGGGTATTTAATTGCTGTTGTTGCAATAAACGGCAATGTGCAGCTTAAGAGGAACTCCAGGCTGTGCAGATAGGCTTATAGGTACAATAATTTTCTGAATCAGTATTCTTCCTAATGTAATTGCTTTCATTTTCTAACGATTGGAAATGTTACTTTTATCACTTTGGAAATTATAGGAGATAATATTTCCTCATATTATTCTGTATCGTCTTTTAATTTTGCTGATCAAAAATAATATTTAAAATGTACTTTTGTGTGATTGTTTGTATTGCGGATTGTTAATTCACTTCATTCTTTAATTGTCACTGATTTATAAAAGATCATAAATGCTTTCAAATGGATGTTATCTGCCATGTACAGTTCACATTAGCTGAAATGAAAAATTGAATATTAAATGGTCCAGTCTGATAATTTCACAGCTATTACCAGCATTAACAGGGTGTGAAAATTGATTATGTTCTAACATATGAAACTTGCTCTAGGTTTGTAGGTACAGTTAATGTTCATATAGTTTTAACATTAAAGGGG